TGTTGATGTCATGGAAGACAAACTGAAGGGAGAGATGATGGATCTCCAGCACGGCAGCCTTTTCCTTAGAACACCAAAAATTGTCTCTGGCAAAGGTTGATTTCAACAAGTTTATATTGTGGTCTATGCTAGACTTAATTCTCTATCAGGCTTGAAATTCTCTCTTCAAAGATTTATTTTTTATACGGATCAGAGAGCCTTTTGAACAGTTTTGCATTGGTAACCTATTTATATCAAAGTTTCAATTTCTAGTAAATGGTTTTAAACGGAAATCCAGTGGGTCCATAATGTGGAAAGCATCTGAGTTAGAATGTAGTTAGTAAAGCTCCTCAGGTTCATATGTAACCACATTGTTTCTAATATTTAAATTTAATATACTTCCCCTACTTTCACACACTAACACAAGGTTGAGAATAGGGTAAATGAGCCTGTTCAGATATTCTTGGGCCTCTCACACTTAAGAGCCCTAGTCAGGAAACCTGGATATGTGTACAAGTGGTGTATTTTTTGGACACTTGAAAATCTTTGAACACTTATCTTTGGGCTGGGTTAACCATCCTGTGCCATAGGGTATCTAGAAGCAAGACATCCTTGATAAATGTAAAGTTGCCTTTGCTTAAAAAAACAAAACAGCCTGTCTCTGGGCTGGTATGATCACAATGAAGTAGTAAAGTAGAGATAGGAGTACGGAAGATTGTGAGCATGTGCTCAAGTGGCAAAAAATTGGGGGATAATACCTCATTTGATTCTTTCCATCTCCTCCCAGCTGGCATTATATAAAGTCCCAGTCTAAAACCAGAATACAAAGAAGGTGTCGATGTAGTCTTCCTCCATGTTAAGTGGCCAAAAACTAAAGGAGGAGTTGGGGGTGGGAGGGTGGCATTACAGGCACTTAACCTGTATTTACCTGTGTGTGAAAGGAAATAGGGGAGGTAACAAAACTGTGATAAAACTGTCCATAAAAAAGTTTATGGAGCAAATTTTTGCTGGCTAGGTAATAGAGTTCTCTTAAAGGCCTTAATCTGGTTTTTGTTCCTTTTTTTGTCTAGATTATAATGTGACTGCAAACTCCAAGCTGGTTATTATCACAGCTGGGGCACGTCAGCAAGAGGGAGAAAGCCGTCTTAATTTGGTCCAGCGTAACGTGAACATCTTTAAGTTCATCATTCCTAATATCGTAAAATACAGCCCAAACTGCAAGTTGCTTGTCGTTTCCAATCCAGGTGAGACCTTTAATTGCACAGATGAGCTCGAGTAAAACTGATGGTATATGTCATATTCTGTATACACATATTTATTTCTCATATTTTTCATTTTCCTCTTGTGAATGGATTTGCTAAAATACTTAAGTTTAAAATAATAAGGGGGATACAGTGCCCCTGAATGTAGTTAGAACTTAAAAATTAGGGGCGCCTGGGTGGCTCAGTCATTAAGCGTCTGCCTTCAGCTCAGGTCATGAACCAAGGGTCCTGGGATCGAGCCCCACATCGGGCTCCCTGCTCCGTGGGAGGCCTGCTTCTCCCTCTCCCACTCCCCCTGCTTGTTTTCCCTCTCTGGCTGTGTCTCTCTGTCAAATAAATAAAATGTTTAAAAAAAAAGAAAAAAAATAGTTATTTGCCCAAGAAGATCTTAGATAAGGGATAAAGGTATGAATAAGGTGTTCTTGATGCACAGTTTATTTTCATTAAGCTACACTTCTTGAATACATAACGAATTTGCTATATTATGCATAGAGGTTTAAAAATTTAACAAATATTGATTGGTCATAATCACTATCAAGATTCGTACAGAGCCATGGATCTTGAGTAGCTTAACATTATCTAATAATTCACCTAGTATCTTCGCCCAAATGAATGTTTTCTTCATAGTGGATATCTTGACCTATGTGGCTTGGAAGATAAGTGGCTTTCCCAAAAACCGTGTTATTGGAAGTGGTTGCAATCTGGATTCAGCCCGGTTCCGTTACCTAATGGGGGAAAGACTGGGAGTTCACGCATTAAGCTGTCACGGTTGGGTCCTTGGGGAGCATGGAGACTCCAGTGGTAAGCATAACTTATTTTCTCTTTCTGTTTTCAAAAAGATTGTGTAAAATATTGACAGTAGTTTCATTATTAAATCAGAGCTGAAATCAGATGATCCATTCATTGGAGTAGGATGCTTTCTAGAAATCTTATCTTTTGGTATAATTATGTTAAGAATTGTTGAGGTTTTAACTTTTATATTAACATTTTTTTATGGCATGGGGAATGGGGAATGAAATTTCTTTTACTCCTAGCAATGGGCGTATTAAAATGAGAGGATAGTTCTTAGGATGACCTCAGTCGTTTGATATCACAGCTGTCTATACTTGAACTGTATGGCTCTGAAAAGGTCAGCCAATCCAAATGAAGCAGATAGAAAAATTCTGTCACAGTTGAAAGATGTTATAATTTGTGCAGTGTTCTCAGTTACTTATGCCAAGAATATGCCCCTTATGATCTCATACTATCTTTATATTTCAAATATGTATGGATTAAACATCCCAGTAGATTGAAAACAGGTTAGAATATGGTGAAAATTCTTAGTTTTATATAAATTAATCCATGAAAATTTAAGAGTAAGGATGTTGGTATTCTTGACCATCTATCAAAAGCAGATAATCCTCCCAGATAAGAAATGAGAATTAGAAAAATGGGTCAAAATTACTAGTCTTGTTACCAAAACCGAAGTTCGGCTCCCCATTGCTCAAAAGGCCAGAACTCAAGAGATGAGTTTTGACTGGAAAGGAATATGAGCTTCATTCAGGAGGCTGCCAACCTGGGGGAGAAGGCGGACTGTTGTCTAAAAGCCCAACTCAGGTTTCTGCCTGGCCCAGAGATTTTTGAAGGGGTTTAATCAGTTGAGGGAACACAGTGATCTGTGACATTCTTGATTACATGCAGATTTAATGATGCCAGTTAGAGTTATCTCAGTGCTCGGAGGGTTTTGCAAGAAGTTCTAGTTCCTTGGTGCCCAGGGGGATTGTACAAGAAGGTCTGGTTCTTTGGTACCAAGGAGTTGTGCAAGAGTACTCTGTTCTTTCTGCAGAGGAGGGCAAGGTCTACAGATACTCAAAGGGAAGTCAGTAAAGTTATTTGACCTTAAAAGGAAAACATTTTGCTGAAAGATTGCTGGGCTAATCAGAAAGGTGAGGCGGTATCAAACAGACTTGCTGGCCTCTGTGGCCTGGGAAAGTTCTGGCCTGCAAATCTCAAAGAAAGTGACTTAGTGCTGTTACAGATCAAGGGTCTTAAGTCAGCAAGCAAGGAGTATGTTCACTTGAAGCAGGTTAACCGTTAAGACTGGTTCAAGTGCTATTACGGTCTGCTGGATGGCGTGTGGAAATAAATGTATTTTGTACTATTTCTTTTAGTGCCTGTATGGAGTGGAGTGAACGTTGCTGGTGTCTCCCTGAAGAATCTGCACCCTGACTTAGGCACTGATGCAGATAAGGAACAGTGGAAAGAGGTTCACAAACAGGTGGTTGACAGGTAATAGATCCCATAATTTGGCAGTACAGAAGATTAAAACATATTATTTTTCTTTGAAAGTTTGAAAGTTTAATCGCATTTCAGTACTTGTTGGAAAACATTTTTCTAGGGATGCCTGGCTGGCTGGCTCAGTTGGTGGAGCATGTGACTCTTGATCTCAGGCTTGTGAATTCGAGTCCCACGTTGGGTGTAGAGATTACTTAATAATAAACAAGCTTTTTTCTAAAGTTTTGTTAAAGAGCATACTATAAAACAGAAGTAAAGATATTAAAATTTATTAACGCAACAGTCTTTTTTTGCTATATTTCTCTATAGTATTGATAAATCTTTTAGTGCTTTTAAGTCTTATTTCACATTCAGTCTTCAATAGCACATACGGTTCATTCAGTTAGGAATAAGAATTTTTATTTATTAAAGTTTTCTTTATTTAATCTTTACACCCCATGTGGGACTTGAACTCACGACCCTGAGATCAAGAGTCACATGCTATATGGACTGAGCCATCCAGGTGCCCCAAGAATTTTTAAATTCAGTTTCCTGTTACAGGCTTTATGAATAGAAACAGCTAACTTGTTTATTCAGATGATTATAAAGTTTCAAACAATGTCTAGATTCATAATTGTACTGAAAATATAAACTGTTAGAAATTGTTTAGGGAAGCTTTCAGCTTGGTAGCATTATTTACTTTACATATACATAACATATATATGTATATATATATATTTTTTAAGATTTTATTTATCAGAGAGGGTGAGCGAGCTCATAAGCAGGGGGGAGTGGCAGGCAGAGGAAGAAGCAGGCTTCCCGTTGAGCAAGGAGCCAGATAATGGGATTTGAACCCAGAACCCTGGGATCATGGCCTGAGCCGAAGGCAGACACTTAACTGGCTGAGCCACCTAAGCGCCCCATTATTTACTTATTATAAATCATGTGTGGACCTCAGGTCTATAGAAATGAATAATGAATCATGATTGATTTAGAAAAGGCCCTCTTATAAAAACCTGTGAACCTGGGGCGCCTGGGTGGCTCAGTCGTTAGGCATCTGCCTTTGGCTTGTGTCGTGATCCCAGGGTCCTGGGATTGAGCCCCGCATCAGGCTCCCTGCTCTGCGGGAAGCCTGCTTCTCCCTGTCCCACCCCCCCCCGTTTGTGTTCCCTCTCTCACTGTATCTCTGTCTGTCAAATAAATAATAAAAAATCTTAAACAAAACAAAACAAAAACCTGTGAACCCACCACCCAACCCAAGAAACAATGATGATTGCTGTCAACCAAGTGTTGTGTTTTTAGGTTAGAATCATTAGTCTGCTGGTCCTTGAATATTAATGAGTTCTGAGCTCCTTCTCCCACTCATCTTTCTGTCCTACCACACATCCCTTGCTTGAAATAATCTTGAGTCATACTATATGTAATTTTGGAGTTAGTTTATTAAATTCAGTATTACATTTTAAAGAATCCTTTATTTTGTTGCATGTAGATACAGTTACTTGTTTTGACAGTTTTGTAATATTCCACTGTATTGAATATGTTCACTGTATGTACCACAGTTTACCCATTCTCCCTGTTGGAGAGCATTGGGCTTATTGCCAGGGGTTTTGAAATTACTAACAATACTGTTGTGAACATCCCTATACATAATATCTTGGTATACGTGGCAAACATTACTCAGATATATAATGTAACTTTATGGCATTATTTGCTATAAAGCATGTGTTTGGTGAAAGCAATGTTGTTTGTTTTCTCTTACCCTACCTTTTCCTGTCCTTCCCTACCCTACAGTGCCTATGAGGTGATCAAACTGAAAGGCTACACCTCCTGGGCCATTGGACTGTCTGTGGCAGATCTGGCCGAAAGTATAATGAAGAATCTTAGGCGGGTGCATCCAATTTCCACCATGATTAAGGTAGGTCTGTGTAGTGATACATTGTATTTGAATGCCATTATTTCCTGTTTTTTTTAAAAAGATTCTTCTGTGAAAGCAGTTAAGTTAGTCGTCATTGATTTAAGTGACATAAATTAATGCACTCACAACTTGCTTTTTTGGAGAGAAATCCTTGAGCTTTAGGATTAATGTCTGCTAGAATACTATGTTTACCACATAGATACTTGATAACTTATGATAATAAGTGGAGGTGGGTGGAAGACCATAAAAGAGAAATTTTTTCTTCAGAGGAAAAAAGGGTAGAGTTGCCAAGATGTTAATCAATAAAAATTTGACAGTGATATGGATAATGGCAATAATTTAGATTTTCTTTTAGAACAGAAGTCTTTGCTGGATTTTGATGACTTGCACTGTTCATAACATCCTAACAGAAAATGGTGGAAAGGAATTCCTGCTTCTCAAGTTGTATTAAACTTCATAATTGTAAAGAATGCAAGTCTTTGGGAGACCCCAGAATGCATACTCAAAACATAAAATACTTTTCATTTTGTCTTCAGGGTCTCTATGGAATTAAAGATGATGTCTTCCTTAGTGTCCCTTGCATCTTGGGACAGAATGGAATTTCAGATGTTGTGAAGGTGACTCTGACTTCTGAGGAGGAGGCCCGTTTGAAGAAGAGTGCAGATACACTTTGGGGGATCCAAAAGGAGCTGCAGTTTTAAAGTTTTCTAATGTACCACTTCACTGTCTAGACTATAGCAGGATTTTAGTTGGAGGTTGTGTATATTGTCCTTATTATCTGATCTGTTACTCAAGTAATACTAAAATGGCCTAAGAAAAAGCGTCAGTTTCCTAAAGTTCCAAATAGGAATGGTTCACCAAACCCTGCAGCTGTATCCTGGTACTGGATGATACCTGTCTTTGTAGCCCTAAATTGGTGAACGTAAGTTAGCCCCACCGTCTCAGAGGCTCTACTGCCAGAGCTGCGGTTGCTCTGCACACCAGATGTGTGTTTACTGTGTGTTCTGTCACTTCGGGTTCCTTCCCCCAACACCCGACATGCCTAGTCCATCTTTTCCAGTCAGTCACATTCTGGGATCCAATGTATAAATTCAATATT